CGGGGGTTTCCCCCCCAGAGGTTTAAAAGAAAAGTCCGAATGGGTTTTTTTTTTTTTTTTTTTTTTTTTTTTTTTTTTTTTTTTTTTTTGTGACCGGTAAGGGGATCGCAACCCTTGGCTTGGTGTCACCCGCACTGCGCTCAGCCAGTGAGCGCACCAGCCATCCCTATATAGGATCCGAACCCGCGGTGGAGGCCGCTGCGCTCCCAAAGCACTGCACTCTCCCGAGTGAGCCACGGGCCGGCCCTAAAAAAATTTTTTTTAAAAAGAATTTGGGATTTAAACCTGAGTGAGATGGAAGGTAATGAATGATCTGTAATGGACGGCAGGGCAAGAGCAAAAGCAAAAAGACTGGTGGGAAGCACAGTGCGAAGAAGGAGAGAGTGACGTCGGTGGCTAGATCAGAGTGGCGGGGGGTACGGTGGGTGGACTCACGATATACTTCAAAAATAGACTCAGTGGTACTTGGTAACGGGTTAGATGTGCAGGCAAGGGAGAATGAGGGGCCAAAGAAGACTCCCACATTTCTGGCATGAACAATTACTCAAATGGGAATAAGTGAATTTTGAAAGGAGTAAAGAGATCAAAGGTTCAGATTTAGACATCTGAGATTACCCAAAGGTAATATATAGTGGGTATTTCCTTCTGAAGCTTAAGGAAAACATTTGAGGTAAAAGATGTAAATTTGTTATATCAACAGCAAAGAGGTATTCAAAACTATGGATGAGATGGCCCTCTGGGAGTTAAAAGAGAAAAGGGCTCCAGAACACTGTTCATTTAAAAATCACATTAATAAAGGCATTAACACCAAATACACTTACATGGCATTCACTGATAAAAATAAGTTCTTGATCCAGGATCCATTGTGTACAATATTAATGTAGTGTATATTACTGCAGCTGGACTATAAATACTCTCCACAAGTGATATTTTTTCACAGTTAAAATCAATCTATCAATCATTGTGGTCATGTAAATTATGTCCACAAATGCTTTGACACTTCCTTCAAAAGGTGGAGCCTAATCCCCTCCCCTTGAATGTGGAATAGACTTAGTGATTTACTTATAATGTATAAAATAAGATGGAAACAGAGTGTGATTTCTGCAACTGGATCATAAAAGGCACTTCAGCTTCCTCCTTGCTATCTCTTGAAACACTCACCTGATGGAAGCCAGCTGCCCTGTCATAAGGACACTCAAGCAGTCTTATAGTCAGGCCCCTGTGACAAGGAACTGAGGCCTCCTGCCAACAGCCATGTGAGTGAGCCACTTTGGGAGGGGATCCTTCAGCCCGAGGGAAGCTTTCAGGAGACTGAAGCTCGACAGACACCTTTACCATAACCTCATGAGAACCCTAAGCCAGCCCCTGGTGGACATGACCCTCAGAAAATGCAGGAGATAAGAAACATTGGTTGTTTTAAGCTGCTAAATTCTGGGGGTAATATGTTGGGCAGCAATAGATAATACAATCATTATGAGAAATCTGCAAAATAATAAAAACCTAATCACCCTAAGTCATCGTAGAGTCAACCAAGACAGAAGTCTGAAAAGCACAGTCAGGTCAGAGTACAACAATAAAAGTATAAGATAGTCAAAATGCCCAAAGAAGTAACTGGATACCATAACTGATACCTTCCTTTCAAGGGAGTAACCAAAGTTATGCTTTTTGTTTGTTCTTAAATTATCTCAACAAGTAAGGCTGGGGGGGGGGGGGGGGGGGG